GATTTCCATTGCGCAAAAAATTCAGGTCGGAAGGGTATCTATGGCAAGTGTTTCTGGTACTAAAGAATCAATGAAAATGTGTGCTGAATTATTATCTGGGATGGGAAAGATGTGTCTTTCAGTTTTCATAAATGTGAAAATATTGAAATTAATGTTATCAGTTCTAATAAATTATTACAATAAATCATCATATCTGGCAGTAACTAATGTATTATGTGTAACTAACGTGTTATGGAATTTCTAGAGTTGAAGAGTTGGGACACTGAACGTCAAACCGAGCCAATTTTGTATTATGTGGATAAGGTATATACGTTCTATCCTTTTTCATTAAAATTTTTCGTAGCAACTAATGTCAAGTTTATTTCAAAAATTATTTTAAGGTTATAAATTTTGTCCCATTGACAAATTGATATAGTTTTACGTCAGATTTGGTCAGGGACGTAGGAGATAAATGGACAATGAGATACGGCCAGACCTTCGACCATATATTAGATAGACTAGGCCATAGGCATACTCTGATTTGTTGTGAAGCCAACATGTGCAGGTGGGGCAAGGGGAAATCACTTATGGTACGCGAATTTGACCCTTAGAGACTCCTTCTCTGATTGGTTCATTCATGATATGTGAACCACCAGTGGCGTCGTAATGTATTCCCATATTACATTGAATATTTTTTTTATATTGTAACTCGGACGATATGATTGTAAATTGTTAAGTAATCACACCAAAAGAGTCAAGTAGTTTGAAAATCTCGAAATACCACTAGTTTTTTCAAGAAACATTATTTATGAAACTTATAATATTTTTCATTTTCTGCCCCTTGGCTACGAGCCGCCACTGAACAAGAAGTAAGGAAGAGTAAGCATCCTCTTGCCCCTCACTCCTCTTGTACAAACATGTTGGCTTCAAACAAACTGCCTACAAACTCGCTGGATGACGAGTCTATCTAATACCGGGTTATTCATAAATATGAAGCAATATTTGAACCTCAAAAATGACCTATAAAATGATGTTAATTTAAATAATAACTCGTGTCCTATCTCCACTGATAAGAATTTTACAGCCCTCGGAATGTGGGTATGGAAATTTGATTTTTTTGTAATAACTTTGGAACTATTTGACCAAATATTATAAAATTTGGAACATTTTCCTGTGACAACACACCCTTTGAACTGGTAATCACGAAAACCGGATACATCCACTGATTTTCCGGTTCTAGCAGTTGCATGTCACATTTTCTGTGTTTTTCCATTTTTTTGCTCTCTTAACACCAATTTTTTCTTGCCCAAATCGATAGAGTAATCAATTTCGATTAAAAAACGCATAACCTTTAATACTCCTAACATAGACCGTTTTAAAGATATTTTAATTTAAACTGAGGACTGCACAACGCTGAAATCAAAAAATAGGGATTTTGAATAAATGGTATCCACGGCAACCAATGACCATGGTCACATAAATCCCTGCCAGACATCTGTTAACTTTGACAATAAATTTTTGTGAATTTTTTATGAATTAAATGCTACGAGATCCATTTGGATTTATTCTAAGTTATGTTTGGAATCTGAGGTAAACTCTTTTATTAAATATTTTCAATTAATTGTCTAATAATCGTCCAATGTCAAAGTTGACAGATGCCTGACAGCGATTAGTGAGACCATGATCATTTGTTACCGTGGATATCATCCATTCAAAATCCCTACTTTTTGGTTTCAGCGTTGTGCAGTCCTCAGTTTAAATTAAAATATCTTTAAAACGGTCCATTTTAGGGGTATTAAAGGTTATGCGTTTTTAAATCGAAATTAATTACTCTATCGATTTGGGCAATAAAAAATTGGTGTTAAGAGAGCAAAAAAATGGAAACACACAGAAAATGTGACCTGCAACATCTGGAACCGGAAAATGAGTGGATGTATCCGGTTTTAGTGATTACCAGTTTAAAGGGTATGTTGTCACAGGAAAATGTTCCAAATTTTATAATATTTGGTCAAATAGTTCCAAAGTTATTACAAAAAAATCAAATTTCCATACCCACATTCCGAGGGCTGTAAAATTCTTATCAGTAGAGATAGGACACGAGTTATTATTTAAATTAACATCATTTTATAGGTCATTTTTGAGGTTCAAATATTGCTTCATATTTATGAATAATCCTGTATATTAGATAGACACGCCATCCAGCGAGTTTGTAGGCAGTTTGTTTGAAGCCACCATGTATGGACAAGAGGAGTGAGGGGCAAGAGGATGCTTACTCTTCCTTACTCCTTGTTCAGTGGCGGCTCGTAGGCAAGGGGCAGAAAATGAAAAATATTATAAGTTTTATAAATAATGTTTCTTGTTAAAACTGGTGGTATTTCGAGATTTTCAAACTACTTGACTCTTTTGGTGTGATCGCTTAAGAATCTACAAACATATCGCCCGAGTTACAATATAAAAAAAATATTCAGTATAATATTGGAAGATTAGAATACGTTACGAACCAATCAGAGAAGGAGTTCTCTCAAATTCGCGTACCATTAGTCATTTCCCCTTGCCCCACCTGCACATGTTGGCTTCACAACAAATCAGAGTATGCCTGGTCTATCTAATATAAGGTCGAAGGGTTCGACTATACTCCATTTTTCCTTTAATGGCCATGTCATCTACAATAAGGGAACATATTTTCTCAACGTCTTTTAAAATATTGCCTTCAGCAGTTATTCTGTTTTTAATTAAATTAGTCAAGCCTGGATCCCCTTGGGAATTTCTCATATATCTGTCTAAAGTTCTTCTGGATGGAGCTTTTAAAAACTGATTTCTTCTCGCAAATTCGTAACCTTTTGAAGAAATGTACTTCCAGGCAATACAATGACGTATTGTAACTTCAGACCATCTTGGCTTTTTTAGGGAATAATTATAAATTTGATCAAGTAAAATCACAGCCCTTGGTTCTAAGTCCTTTGCATCTGACTCAATTTTCACTACACAATGTTGACCTTTACTGTAATTGTCAATTTTTTCCTGCATTCTCTTTAGTTTTTCAAGTTTATTTTCATACAGCTTATTCAACTTTTGAAATCTTACATTTGCTTCCTGTAACTTTTTTTCTAAATTTTGAATTTTATCTAGTAAGCCAAATTTTTCTGCTGAACTTATTGCATCTGAAACATTTTTTTAAATCAAAATCATGAGTATCACTTACTTTTAAATCGCTTTGTTGATCAAAATCAAATCGAAATAGATTTGAAATCGTATAATTTTTGTCAAATGACTCTGGAAATTGGAGACACGGTGCAGGCGTTTCTAACGGCTTACGTTTTGAATTAATGGAAGTGGTAGAAATTACCTGAAAATGAGTAATTCTTTTATAATTCAAGAGCAAGGATGGAAGTGCATTTGGTAACAATTTTTTGTTTTTATAATAGCTCGTTATTTCAAAGTGTTTTCCACAAATCACGGAATTTGGGGGTATATTGCCGATGGTACCAAATATTCTCTTAAGCCATTCGTTTTTTTGATTCGTACTTTTTGGAAATTGATGTAAAGTAACACCCTCTTTCTCCGCTTGCCCACAGTTTGGAACACGGCAAGTTCGGATACTTGGCATTTTAAAAATTATAATGTAACGTCTGAAAGATATTGATACTGCGCTTCTTAAGCTGAAAAAATGTATTAGTTGTGTGACAGATCAATATTTTATTAAATGTGTCAACAATTGTGACATTTAATTTCCTGCAAATTTTCAAATTTCACAAATTACAGTTTCCTTTGGGGCGTAACGCGCGCGTCATCTACCGGAATTTACGATTTTGACAAGTTCACGATTTTGGCCTATTGCCCAGACATGGCCCAGACTTTATTTTCTGTCAATCAACGCAAACGACGGGTGAGAATTACTAAAATGTTGACGAATAGACCAACAAGATTCTCATTTATAAAAAATGTTTGAAATACTCTTTGCAGACTACACGTTTCTATTCAGCGGAATATCCAAATAGATGGACTTCCTAAAACTGGAGTTATGTCATTTTGACTGATAAAAAATTGTCAAAAGTAAAAATACGATTACTATGTTTAACTAATTAAAACGGAATATTTTAGTATCCACGTTATCTATGAAATGTAATGTTGGTTGCTTCAAAAATTTTATCAGGCTCATTATTACTCGTGGGACACTCCAAATACAGGTGCGCAATAACTCGCGCCCCAGAAAAAAAATGCCATATAAGGAACATGAAAAAAATGTTTAAAAAATTCTACCTATAAAAATTTCGAAGTTATGAGATTTAAAATTTTGCGCTTTGACTCTTATTTATTTCTGTTGGAAAAATAATTTTCCAAGTTTTTTTGCTACAGACTATTAGAAGAGAAAACAAGGAAGCTGTATCCTAAATTGTTGTTATTTGTGGCTTTTATTGGTAAAATTTTTGTTCATTTTCATATACAAGATCATTACTATCATTAAACAGACATAAAAAAAATTCAAATGTCAAAAAATAAATGTAATTTTTTTTTTGACAGATACATTTTTTTCCATGTTCCTGGTACCTTATCTTACTTGAAATTTTTCTCTGGGGCGCGAGTTCTGGCGCAGTCTGTATATTCGCATTCATATTCAGAAAAAAATTTGTAAAGACAAAATAATAGTTTTCTTTTAATAGTGAAATTTCAAGATGCAATTTTTGTTTGTTTCTCAACTCTACATAAAACAGATAAAATTTAGCTAATAGTTTAATAAGTTTTTGTAAACTTAACTTTACAGTCAGAATAGTGAATGGTGGTGAAGTAATTTATAACTTTGATATTTTTTTTGTAATTACTAAAACGTTTTCAACTATCGTCAGCAAAATAACAAATCATCACGTGTTGGTTACTTTTTAATTATAAGAACAATTTTTTTTTTGTTGGAAGCACTTACAAATAAGTTGATAACAAAATACTTTTAAATATTTTTGTTAAAAACAAACAATGACGTCTTTTCGGTTGATATGAAATTTGTATAAAAGGCAGAAAGGTTTTGTCTCAGCTCGTAAAAAAGTGTTAGAAAAGTAATCAAGATGTTAGTTCTGCCAATATTATTTCTTGCAATGGTTTCTTTAAATGGTAAGTAGAATATTGTAAAAACAAGTTTTATGCATTATTGCGTTTTTCGCTGTTTTTTTTTTTTTTAATTAGGTGCATATTCTCTTAAATGCTATACTTGCAAGGGAGACAAAGAATGCGAATCTCCATCTGAAGAAACTTGTTCAGACGATGAGGTTTACTGTGTAGCTCTTAATATTCCTCAAGGTACTCAGTAAATATCTAAATTTCAAGTTTTTCTAATAATTATTTTTTTAAATAAAGGTAAAAACAAATCTTTTTTTATTACTTCAATGGGCTGTGCAGATGAAACTATTGGCGGTGTAATTTGTCAGGATCTTGAAGATAACAATACAGGAACCTGTTACACTTGCCAAGAGGATTCATGCAATGAAAAACTCCCTGAATAGGACTAACGCACAGTAAAATGTAAAAAACTACTGATAAATTCTTCTATTCTCAAGATTTAGTTGGTTTGTGTTAACTGATAGGAAATATATATTTTGTCTCACAGTCACTTCTTTACACTTTTTGTCTTTAGCAAAAAGTGACAGAAGCCAAAATTATCTCCTTACTAAATCTATAAGTAAACCAAATGAGTTTTCAAAACTGTAGAATTTTTCGGTACATTTATCACATATTAAATTTAATTTTTGGGGGTATCAGAATTAAAAATACTTGAAGAATATTATCGTTTATTATTTCTGACACCCTTACAACTCACTACACAATTAATCAACTTCTAATTTTTTGAATGTTCCATCAACGCCGAAGATTGTCCCAGCATTTTTGGTTTTCCAAGTCGTTTAGTCTCATCGACTTTAAACGGATCCAATCACTTGAAAAAATCTATATTTTCTAAAAGATTTTTGGTGTTTTGTGCTAAAATTTATACAGGGCGATTCAGATAAGATAATGAGCCTGACGATCTGGCGATGCAACCCAAAAAACAAATTTCATTTACGCCTTTCCAATTTCAATTAGGATTTGCAAGTTGAATCCAAGTTATCATCTTGGTGTCACTCTGACACATAGCTCTGACATTAGTACAGAGAACGATTATTAGTGCCATTCAGTTCTCGCGGAATGATAGAGAAATTAGAGAAGTCTTTTCGGTGTAAACCCAATACAAAATGTATGAAATAATGAAACATTAAAGGTAGGCAAACAGTTTTTTTTAAAATCATAAATTGCATGTCAAAGCACTATCAGAGCAACATAAGATAACTTGGATTGCAAATGCAAATCGTAATTAAAATTAGATCATAACGTAAATGAAATCTGTTTTTTGGGTTGCATCGGCAGATCATCAGGCTCATTATCTTATCTGAATCGCCCTGTATATTTTGAATTGTGAAATTTATTTAAAAAATACCATGTAATGTTTCAAACGAAAAAGCATTCTTTTGGTAAAATATTTTTATATTTTAACATTTAACATTTCAATCTTTTAAAGGGTACTAGATTAAAATATTCAAAACTAAAATTTTGTGTCAAGTTTGTCAAGTGTCAGTTATGAAACTTAAAGCGCAGCTTTAAAAAGTTAATAAAGTTTTTTTCTTTTAATGGAAATGCCAAGCAGTCTTAACGTTAGAACCACTAGTAAATTCATTCATGGTTATTTTAATAAAGGAAGTTGGCAGTTCCCGTTTTTTGAATTAATTTGAAAACAGTGTCATTAAACGTCATCACAAAAAATCGTCTAAGAAAATTTAGAGACGAAACACCAAAAAAGGAACAAATTCGGTACAACTAACAGTTTTTAGAAATTTGGAAACGAATAGTTCGCAAGCAGGAAGTTGGAAAAAAGGCCCGTTAAAATGTAAACGCAATTTGTAATGCAGGTTTGCTAAACATTCTCAATTTCTAGCAAGAAATTGACAAGAACACAAAATAAACATGAATGACAGAACGCAATTAAATTAGTGTCTTGTGCATCGTTTTTGAGGAACGAGTTGAAAAAGTAACAATTTTGAAACTAAAGCTGAAGAAGAATTTATAAAATGCATCAACTTTGAACTCATTTCAATAAATTACACAAAATTTATTGCCGATCATCATAATACCCACTTGTATCTTTTGCTAAATAACTTTTTTCTGTATAAACATCCTTTTTCTTCAAAGTTTTTGTAGCAAGAACCTCATTTCTGTCCACAACATTGATTTTTTTCTTTAGGGGTATTTAAAAATAAAAATATATGTTAATGTTCTAATGCAAAATTTAGAAGAGCTGAAAGAACGTACTCGTACAGAATGTAATAATATACAGGGTGCGTCAGAATTCGCGCCCCAGAGAAAAATTTCAAGTAAGGTAAGATACCAGGAATATGAAAAAAATGTTTAAAAAATTCTATCTGTACAAAAAATTTTGACATTATTTTTTTGACATGTGATATTTTTTTATGTCTATTTAATGATACTGATGATCTTGTATATGTTTTTATACAATTATTTAGTAAAGGTACATAAATTTTGCCAATAAAAGTCACAAATAACATTGAGCAGAGTTACAATTTAGGTTACAGCTTTCTTGTTTCCTCTTTTAATAGCTTATTACAAAAAATTATTTTTCCAACAGAAATAAATAGAGTCAAAGTGCAAAATTTAAACCCTCATAACTTCGAAAGTTTTAAAGATATTTTTTTTTACATTTTTTCCATGTTCCTGGTAAATTACCTCATATGGCATTTTTCTCTGAGGCGCGAGTTCTGGCGCAATCTGTAGATCCGGAATTTATCAGGAATGCAGTGGCGGGGTTTTCAAAATCGCTGATCGTAATTGCCTTAGTAATATTGAAGTTGATCCGTTTTTTTTTAAAGTATTCATAGGGTTATGTATACTAATAAAAAATGTCCCTATTTACCATTTTATCCCAAAACGTATTTAGATTGTGATGACCTGATTTAAAATTTAAAAGCACCGCCAAAAGGTCGAGCGGAAAAGGTATACAGCCCAAGAGAACCGGAAAAGAAGTAGGGGAAGAAAAGGAATTCATTGGGCTGTCACGCTCGGAGAGTTCGGTTTTGCTTGAAGTGTTCTTTTCGTTTTTTTATTATTCTTTGTTGTATTGAAAAACTTTAAATAAATATTGTTCGAGTTTTGAGTATCATACCGTATTATTATTTTTCGCTTTATTAACTGAACGGGTTGCTGGAAGTGCTTCCGAAGCTAAATCGCGACAGGTAAGAGAGGATAGATTTAGTTGAACCCACGTGGCGACCACCATTTTGTAACTTAAAAAAAAAAATTAACTGGTAAACTTTTCAATCATCAAGCTCTCATCACTGTTCATTTTATTTAACATCAGTGACCATATTTCTGTTTCTATAATTATTTCTTTGTTTGTTTATTTTGTTTGCGTCTCTGATCCATTACCCCTTTCCGTCTGGGGGGCGCATGGCTGGTGGTTCGTTGGTGTAAGCTCATACCAACCAATGGAAAGAGTCTGTGTGCTTTTCGAATGCAAACGAAGCTGGTAGTTTCGGCATTAGTGGGGTTAATGAAGCCGCGAAACTGCCGCCCGGTTGATAGAATGACGGAAGTTACTACGTTCCTAGTAGTTGTGGGCCATCGGTATGCGTGGTCGCCAGGGCAGTGATTACGATACTCCAAACGAAGCTGCAGGTCAACGATACTAGGCAGTTGATAGAATAGGTCTAGTTACCTATTCCCAACGAAGCTGCTGGCTGCGGTATCGGTGCAGTTGATAATTATAAAATCAAACTAACCTGTGAAGTTCGATTATAATTGTGTAAGGCTCCTCATCCGAATAAACACTTGTAGTACTGTATTTGGTACTGCTTCCACGCACTTATTTTAAAGAAAAAATTGATCGCGTCCTTCCGTTAGCCGACTCCTTTTCACAATCCGGCAACGCCGCTACTTTCATTATTGTTTAAAGACAAAATCGCTTGCAACTTAATAAGGGCATCGCCGTCTCCATAGAAATGATCCTTTTCTCGCCTGGGCATTTTTTGACTTCAAGTGATTCCCGTTGGCGCTTTAATCTGGGGAAAATTTTTGACAAATCCAGTTTTTTAGCTTAAAGGGTTCAACCTCATAATATCAATTCTCCCTGGCGTATCTAGTTTTGTTGTATCCTTCCTTCCCAGCATTTATTAATTGCGTTATTTTTCGTTAATAATTAAAAATCATTCAGTTTTTCCTTAGTAACCCCCGTAACTAAGAAAACATTGGAATCACTGCTCCAATGCATTTTTTACAAAATGCCCAGGCGGGATATTGATACATTTGATTAAGGAGGCGGTGATAAGGGCTTATTTGAAAAACAGTTATTTACCATTGGGTGTGGTGGAAGTTATTCGGATGAGGAGCCTTACACAATTATAATCGAACTTCACAGGTTAGTTTGATTTTATAATTGTGATTCGGCTCCTCATCCGAATAAACACTTGTAGATGTTTAAAGATAGATGGTGTTGCAAGTGTTGAAGAAGGAAATTTTTTCTTAAAGAAAAAAATAAGTTTATTCAAAGTTATAAAAATATAAGACTATAAAGTTGAAATAGAATAGATATTATTTTTTGTCAGTTAACGACAGTATTGCGTTTGGCACCGAATTGGTACCCATTGTTGGACGGTTATAAAACCTTTCGAACGTTTTTGATTGTCCTGTCCACCCTGCTGACTTTCTAATTGTTTCCACTGAAACTCCTTGTCTCAGTGCTGCTGAGGAGGACGCATGCCTAGTCGAATATGAGGTGAATATGTCCATGTCAATTCCTGCTTGTGTTAAGGTCATTTTTATCCATTTGTTAAGTGTAGCTAAAGAGGCTCTTCTAAACGGCTTTCTAAGTATTATAAAAAGATAATCTTCTTGTCCTCTGAGGCTTTGTGTGATTGAGATGTAATGCTTTAGTAATGTGGCAACACAAAGTTCCGGTCTTTCTAAAAAATAATTCAGAGAAAAACTTGGATATATCCCTGTTTTTATGCTGGTCTTGGTGGGTTCAGTGATAACAATTCGAACACCAGCGTCAGAAAATTTTATATTTGATAGTTTAATCAGATGTAATGTTTGAATTCTTTGGTTTTTAAATGTTTTCTAATGTTAGCGTCTCATGGGGATAAAATGACATTAAAAGTTCAAGAACAGGTGTTGGATCCCAAACTGAATCATATTTAGGTTTACTAGGTCTAATTCGTGCCACACCCTTAAGAAATCTTTTAATTTCTGAATTATTGCCCAACTCTCCTGGAAGTAACAATGACAAGGCTGAGCGGTGAGAGTTAAACGTTCCGTAACTGTGTGTAGTGGTGTCCAATACGTATTGTAAAAACTCCAGAATTTGTGGTGCTAAAGCTTCAAATGGGTTAATGTTTTTATTTTGGCAAAATTTCCACCACAGTTTGTATGTGCACTGATATTGTGCAAGTGTGGATGATGATATAGACCTCAGCATAGTAGAAATTGCAGGTTCTGGAATACCTCTTAATTTAAAGGCTTTCCAGTGACAAGTCCTACCATCAGTGTAAGTGTGCTTTTCAATGGGTGTGTTGCTCTGAAAGGAGAAAACAATAAGTCGTGTTTCGGACCGACCTTATAGGGATATTGCAAGAGCATTTTTTGGAAAAGTGGATACCATGGCTGAGAAGGCCAATCACGTACTATTAATATACCCCTAGCATTGTCTGCGATAATTTTGTTAATCGTTCGTAAGATCATTGAGAAGGGGGGAAAAGCATAGAAATACATGTTAGACCATGAAATTGTGAACGAGTCTACGGCTATTGAATCTGGATCTATTAGCCACGAAACATAATTTTGACATTTATGATTTGTATAAGAAGCAAAAAGGTCAATATCTGGTTCGCCATACAACGCTTTTATTGACTCAAAGACTTCTTGTGACAATTCCCACTCCGTTTCTGGTGGTAAGGTACGCGATTCCTTATCGGCATTATGGTTTTGTTTAGAATTTATGTAAGACGCATGTAACCATATTTGTCGAGATTCACACCACTGCCATATTTGTTTTGCCAAATTTGATAGTTGAGGAAACTTGATACTTCCCATTCTGTTTATATATGACAGTGCTGTTTTGTTGTCTATCCTTAATAATACATTGCACGAGGATAGATTTTTTGCAAAACATTTTAAACCGAAAAAAGCTGCCTTTAATTCAAGAAAGYTAATATGCTTAAATTTATCTGATTGGTCCCACCATCCATGTGTACCTTTTCCTTGACAGTAAGCGCCCCATCCCCTTAGGGATGCGTCTGTAAAAATTTCAACTGAATATCTGTCTTTCCTAATAGGATTAAATGCTTGTTTTATATTGGTTTTCCACCAAAGAAAGTCCGGTTTTAAAGTGAGAGGTAGAGACATTTTGGCATTGTAGCTATAACCTGATTTTAATAAAGCTAAACATTTTTCCCTCTCAAACATCTTTGTATATACCCATCCATATTGAACTGCTGGGCATATTGAGGTTAAAATTCCAATGAACCTGGCAAATTTCCGTATTTTACAAACTTTTGTACTTTGGAAGGAGTTGATGAGTTTCAGAACTGTATTTATCTTTTCCCGAGGAAGAGAAATATTTAATTGTAAGCTGTTAAAAATAAAACCTAAAAATTTACATTTTTGTGACGGGACGAGAGAGCTTTTTTCAGTATTAATAACAAAACCCAACCTTTGGAGCAGACGGACTGTAATTTCCGTATTTTTGAGACAAACTTGTTCTGAGTCTCCAAATATTAAGAAGTCGTCTAAGTAAACAACACAGGTAATGCCTTTTTCTCTCAAATTTGTTATTATTGGTTTTGTTAACTTTGTGAAAGTATATGGAGCTGTTGATAATCCAAAGGGAAGACAAGTAAATTCAAATAATTTACCCTGATAACAAAAACGGAGATATTTTCTACAAGATTTATGGATTGGGACAAAAAATAAGCATCTTTAAGATCGACAGACGTCATATAACAATCTTTGTAAATCAGTTTTGCCACTGTTCGGGAATCCTCCATTATAAATGTGGAGGGTCTAAATGCTTATTTAATAGTTTTAAATTAAGAATAAACCTGTTTTTACCATTTGGTTTTTGAACCAAAAAGAAGTCAGAAAGAAATTGATTTTTGCTTGAAATGCAATGTTCAACAGCCCCCTGTTCTAGTAGTGTATCTAAAGATTCACTAATTGCTTCCCTCTCTGATTGAGAGTATTTGCGTTTGGGTGGTCATGTTTTTTGCAATGGAATACTGAGGAAAGGTATTTTATATCCTAGAATCCAATCTAGAATTATTGGATCCCTGGTAAGAGTTTTCCAGTAGTCAAGAAATTGGAAAAGTCTACCTGCTAAGGGTTTCACCTTTACCTGACTTAGTAACCACGTGTTCGTTGAGTTTGGACTTTTGAGGGTTGCCCTATTGATGACCTCGTTTCCCTCGTAGGACGAGTCGGGCCTTTCCTGTTTAACGGTACATAGGAACTACGAGTAGTTTTGTATCTACTCGCTTGTTGTTGAGCTCCCCCTTCTCGTTTTTGTTCTAAAGAATTATAGGTGCTAGTAGAAGCTGCCTTGATTTCCTTTCCCAGCTTTTCAAGAGATTTGGCCTTTTTTATTTCCTCGCCAATGTCTTTTCCAAAAAGAAATTCTTTTGGAGGCACCTTAAGTGAAATTTCTTTTGCTTTTTTCGTCAACGAGGGATAAAGTAAATGTCTACGAGTGAGTGACATAGTGTAAAAAGCATCAGCTATTAATTTAGCCGAATCTGAAAAAATTTTACCCAACTCTGTTTTCAGAGCTTGGTCCAAAGCTTTGGTTTTAAAAAGTAGCTTAAGTCCTTGAGAGTGAGCTGCCAAACTGGAAAGCAATTGGCTTTGTGTCGCCATTTGGTATGCGTCTTTTTTAACACAAGAAGCAGCTATTATTGCAGCCACTTCCGAATTTAATGTGGGTGGACTTACGCCATTTTCAGATTCCAACTGATATTCCTCTATTAGTGGTTGTTTGTCACTGGACGGTAAACCGTTATATAAAATGTAAGACCAGCGTGTCAAGAGCTCTGAGGGAATGACCACCTTTTCTTTGACGTCATTTGGATTTTCACCTAATATTTGTAAAAAATCTTGAGGAAGTTCCTCGTCGTTATGTACGATGAGAGCTGGTGAAGGTGAAGCGCTTTCACGCACGTTATCCTGTGGACGGCGTTCCGGCGAATTGTGATGGCTCCCTGAAGGAGTTACCGATCGCAAATCCTGAGGACTTTGCGAACGGGAAAGTGCCATACTAGAACGAGATCTTGAGCGTCTATAGTCACGTGACATTCGTTTTTCTAGCTTTTTCAGTCTTTTTAGTAGTTTTCTGGTGGACCGGTGGTCTTCCTCTGAAGAAGCAGAAGAAGAGCTTCGTTTTCTCTTTTTTTCTTTACCCATTTTGCTAAAAATGACTGAAAAAATTAAGTAAAATAACCTAGAAATTACCAAGCGAAGCATACGTGGAGCGCACAAATACAAGAATGAAAGTAGCGGCGTTGCCGGATTGTGAAAAGGAGTCGGCTAACGGAAGGACGCGATCAATTTTTTCTTTAAAATAAGTGCGTGGAAGCAGTACCAAATACAGTACTACAAGTGTTTATTCGGATGAGGAGCCGAATCACAATAATTGTATACCAAGTAGTTGTGCCGCTCGGACTACGGATCTGCGAACATTTCTCGAATCATGAGCCAGTTCTGTTTAGAAAAGCCAATCAAACATTGCCATTTCACAAATCCAAACCATTTCAAGTCAGAATCAGGAAAGCCTCTACAACAGAGAGCGACCTCTTACCCAACCCAACCTCAATTTGCTCGGCGGTAATGTCGTGAAGAATATGGTAGAGCGCATTACTTGCCCTGAGTCTTGTTTGTACAGTAACAACGCAAAAGTCGTGTTACTTGCCTATTTGGTTATTTATGTCATCTGTTTATGTGTTTCATGTTTTATTCGTTTCATCCATTTACTTGTTCCAAATGTCGTAGTTTTATTTGGTTGAACTATTTCCTTGGAAACATAATCTCCCTATACGTCCAGGATTCAAGAAATAAACTTTTTTTACGTCCATACGAAAAGCATTGGTAACAAAGTATGTTTATTAGTGTAGATTCAAAGGTACAGTCACGTACCTCACTGACGTCACACTAATAGCGCGTATTGTAGTCAACATTTCTGTAAGTTAATCTGTTCTAACCTCACTTTTTGTGTAATGCGTACTTTAAAGTATGTTACAGAGTTGCCAGAATGTTGCAAACGATACAGTGGCTAGGTCGTACCAAAACAAAATAAAAAGTATCAACATTTACATAATGTGTATTTGGCTGAGAATATAAATTATTATTTGTTTACAAGGGAATATAAATATCTAGTAAAAAAAAAACTAGTATCAATTTGGTACTATGGTATCACAACTGGCAACACTGTATGTTTAGCTTCGGTACAGTCGCGTCTGTGACGTCACGTCTAATTGCGCGTAGTGCATTCAACATCATTCGAAAGTGATGAGAAAGCATTTGCTGAAAACATTTTCAAAAAAAGTTCAGGAAGCTAGAACAAAGTGAACAAGTCAGAATCTGAATGGAAAGTGATTAGATTTTAAAAAGATTTGCCCTTATACAGGGTGATTCAGCTTAAATGACACACTTGACCCCTCTTGGCAGACAACCCATAATACATAAATCAATTATTCCTTGATGCATATTAGAATTTTGAAAGTTTCATGAATCAATATTATATACAGGGTGTTCGGTGTTCGCCCCGGCTGATAACACCTAAACTTACTTCTTTTTTTCAAAAAGTAAATATTTAAGTAATAATATTCCTTCTTGGCTTTCTTAATAAATGTATTAATTTTCTTTGGCACATCCGGTGTTGACGGAAATGCTACCAAATTTAGTTTTTCAAATGGAACACCTAAGTTTGTTGTCCCCCAAACAATAATAATTGACATGAAAAATACTGTTAACCACTATTTATTACATTTTGCGTAACACAATGCAATCAAAAAACATCTTTTAAATCTTAGAATTTTATAAAGAAATTGGTCGCGTAGCCTGATTTTTAATTTTAAAGGAAAGGTTTAAAAAATGCGTGGATACAGTTTAATTGTTGGTTTGACAAATTTAATTTGTCAGTTTATGAGCGAGTTCTCTTATGGAAACTCTTGGATTTTCTTCGACCGATAACAGAACATTCAGATTTCTATTTTCTTGTTCTCACAAAGAATCACAGGTTCTTTAGTTTTAAGAAGCAAACCTATTCGTCTCAGTTGTTTTTCAATTCGACTAAATTTTCAACGATTTGGGTGAACTCTATTTGAGTATTTTTCTCTATACTGTATTTCAGCTTCCGCTCTATTTTTGTTGCACTTGAAAAACACTTCAAGCTGATCTACCAATTCGTCGTAATTAATATCACCCATTACTAAAGATCTCAATAAGATTTATTGACAAATTAGGCTTTGTCAAACTAACAATTAAACGGTATCCAAGCATATTGCTTTTTGCATGAATACCTTGACTAGTAAAATCCGCCTACATTGCAAAATTTGCTAATAAAATTCTAAAATTTAAATTGTTTTCTGAGTGCATTATGTAAAGTAAAATGTAATAAATAGTGGTTTATATAAAGGTGCAAAATTGTGCGAAATGCAATAATGAAAGTGGTAGTAGTATTTTAAACCGGGGGTTTTGCAAAGGTTTTTTTTTAAATGATAGGTAATTACTTGTTAAGTAAAAGATGTGCAAAATTGTGCAAAATTAAATGATTTCATTGGTATAAAAATTATGCGTTTAGGCTAAATTGGGGGTGCTGAAAATTTTTTTTAATTAGTAATTACTCGTAAAGTAACGGTGTGCAATATTTAATAAAAAGTGTGCAAAATTGTGCAAAATCCAATAATAAAATTGACATAAAACTTTTAAACATATATTGAAGTGGGGGTGCCACCGTCAAGTTAGCACCCCCAATATAATTTCAATCATAGCATCCCTATTATAGGTGTGCAAAATTCGAAACTTAGTGTGCAAAATTGTGCAAAATGTGTGCAAAATTATGGTATTATTTATATTTAAAAATTATTAAATGGAGGTGCTAACTTCACTGACCCCTAAATTCAGTACTGAAATTAGTCTCGTGTCAGACAGCTCTAATGGTGTAATACATTCTTGTAATAACTGAGGGGATTTTTGCTGAAGGTTCAAAAACGGGTGATGGGACGGAAAAAGAGAAAAAAGGAGTTAGTCGGTGAACCGGGGTCGTTAAGACAAGTTGAAAAAGAGTGTAGTGGCGCCTTGCTCCTGAGGACCGATAATGTAAGTATTTAGTTTTATTTTATTGTTAATTTTTGTTGCGGCTTTAGTTTTAAATAAATGTTAATATCTGATTCAAATTAACTTTCTCGTAACATTAGGTCCCTAATTTAAGTTCGACCTCAGTGCAGTAAAGTACCGAAAAAAAGGCTCTACCAAACTGGGTCGTGACAATATTATGCGTAACTTGACAATTTGAAAGAAAAAATTCCCTGTATTTTTGTAATCTTGTATATTACCGCCCAAGAGAAGTAATGTTGTTACTCCACATGAGATATAATGACGTGTTTCTCAACCTTTAAAAGGTTAGTAATCGGTATATTACATTGGTGACAGTGAATATATGTTTTTTTATTGCAACTAAAATTGTATATTGTGTTTTATGAACCAGTTTACCTATTCATAATAAAGGGAGATTCACTTATTCACTAAAAAGCGAATACAAATTTGCAAATGCGAATATTTATAAGTATTTACAAAATAAATTTACACTTTAAAATACGTATTTTTTTAAAAGAAATTTATAATTTTCTTAGAATAGTAAAATTTCAAGATGTATTTTTTTATTTTTCAACTCTGCATAAAACAGATGAAATTTAACTAATAGTTTAATCAGTTTTTGTAAACTTAACTTTATTCAGTCAGAATAGTAAAAATCGATCCGAAAATAAATGGCGTAGTTGAATGGTGGTGAAGTAATTATAACGTTGGTATTTTTTTGTAATTACCAAAACATTTTCAACTATCGTCAACAAAATAACAAACCTTCGTGTGTTGGTTACTTTTTAATTATTAGAACTATTATTTTTTTGTTGGAAGCACCTATATTAGTGTTACAAATAAGTTGATAACAAAATATTTTAAAATATTTTTGTTAAAAACAAACAATGACGTCTTTTCGGTTGATATGAAATTTGTATAAAAGACAGAAAGGTTTTGTATCAGCTCGTAAAAAAGTGTTCGAAAAGTAATCAAGATGTCAGTTTTGCCAATATTATTCCTTGCAATGGTTTCTTTAGATGGTAAGTAGAATATTGTAAAAACGAGTTTTATGCGTTTTTTGCTGTTTTTTTTTAATTAGGTGCATATTCTCTTAAATGCTATACTTGCAAGGGAGTCAAAGAATGCGAATCTCCATCTGAAGTTACTTGTTCAGACAATCAGGTTTACTGTATAGCTCTTAATGTTCGTCAAGGTACTCAGTAAATATCTACATTTCAAGTTTTTCTAATAATAATTACTTTTTTAGATAACGCTGAAGACTTTATTTATATGGATTGTGCAAATGAAAGTATTGGAAATAATATTTGTCAGGATCTTGAAAATGACCAATGTTACACTTGCCAAGAGGATTCATGTAATGAAAACCTCCCTGAATAGGATTAACACAGAGTAAAATGTAAAACTACTGATAAATTTTATTGTTCTAAAAACTCATTTTGTTTATGTAAAATGATAGGAAACATATATTTTGTCTCACAGTCTCGTCTTCAATTTTTTTTCTACCAAATGTGTTTTTAATTTTTCGGTACATTTATCACAATCATGTTAAATACTCGTATAATTTTTTTTGGAATCTAAATTAAAAAACGTGAGGAATATTATCTTTTATTATTTCTTACACCCTTAATCAACTTCTAATTTTTTGAATGTTCCATCAACGCCGAAGATTGTCCCAGCATTTTTTGGTTTTCCAGGTCGTTTACTCTCATCGACTTTAAACGAATCTAACCATTTGAAAAAATCCATATTTTCTAAAAGATTTTTGGTGTTTTCTTCTAAAATATGCAATTTGTGAATTGTCAAGTTGATTTAAAAAAATACCGTGCAATGATTCAAGTGAAAGAGCATCGCCACCATATTCCTTTGGTAAGATATTTTTCGGGACATATTTAAACAACGATTCCATAGAATTGTGAAAATGAAGCTGAAAACTGAATTGATGAACAAATTTTGTCAATTTCAGGCTGTTACCAAATCGATTAGTTCCTTTTTCATAAATGGTTTGACCATAGCTATGATTTTATCAGTAAAAGGCACCAAATTGATGTGGTGAATCCCCTTGATTCGTACAGGGATAGCCTCCTAAATTTCACATTTTGCCAACATCACAAAAAAATCGATACTTACTTGAACATAAAACAAATGTTTCTTAATTGCAACTAAATTAAATCTAGTCAAATGACCAAAACTAAGACCTTTCATATCCATAATTGCCAAAACTCCGTTGCAAGTCCCTTCCTGGTGCAACTTCAGCATCAATGACATATCCATAAAATTGATTTGATTCACACAATTGTAATGCTCAGGTTTCGTATCAACCAGTCTCATCACCACCACAGCATAACCTTCTGGGGTTTTCTCAGGGAGGAAATTAATTGAACTAGATTTTATAAATTAAAAGCGAAAGGAAGTAAACCCAACTTACCCAACAGATAATTCCCGTTTCAATATTTCGATTGGTGGAACCCCGAAAATGTCTGGACATAAAGTCCGGACTGTGAAAAAATTGTCAATGGCGTTTTTCGCCCCCTCGATGCTGTAGTAACAACTCTGGAGGAAGAGGATGAGTTGGAGTTCGGAGGCTTGGGGCAAATGGGGCTGCTTTTCTAACCAATCGGAGAGCATTTTCACGTGTTGGCGATTGAGGCGGTTGTCTTTCTCGTATTCTTTGTTCACGTCCATTAGTTTGAAAGACATTCTGTGTTTTCAACAGAAATTATTGTGAATTAGACGGTTTTTTGTTCTTTTTTCTACTTTTTTTCTGAAGAAAATTTTAAAGTTTCTGTTGGTAGCACCAAAAGTATTTAAATATGACAAAGTGCATGCAAAAAAGTGCTAAGGAAGTTAGAAAACTAGCATTATAATGTTTGTGTGTTTTTTACTTAGTTGGTAACAAATTTGAAACGGTAATTTGGTCAAATAATTATCAAATTCAGTCCTAAAATGATTAGATGCCAATGTTGCGAACAGATTTCTAGTCACCTTGTGAATAAAAATACAGTGTTTCATTTAAAAAATGCAGATATTATGGAGAAATCTATAATAACACTGATATTTTTTTATTAGATGTAATCAAAACAACTTTAATTTGAAATAGAATTTGAACCCTTACTAATGATAATTGAAGTATAAAAAATACAAGATAACTAATTATTCCAGTTGTTCAATAAATAATCGCTAATTAGTAATTTTTAAAATTTAGACAGTTTGATATACTGGCTGTCTCAAGAATTTTTTTGTAAACACTAGAATTTTTTATAAACTCCTAAATCTGTTGCGGACAGTGATTTTCTCTGTATTACATATAAAGCGCACAAAAAGTGTCGCACCAATCCGTATGGTAGGGCCAAATTTAGCGCTAAGGGTCGGGTGTGCGGGAGGAGAACCTAGAGGTGGAGTCATTAGCCTATAGTATATCACTCAAAAGTAGGTACAGTCCGAGACAAGCGATAGTCGAAAGCAGGAGTGTTATATCGTCTCTCAACAGATCTCGGAAAATCTCTGTTTACTGAAATATAAAACTCAACCACTACGGTGAGATGTAGGTTTTACAAACCGGTACGAATGCAGTTTTGTAAATAACTTGGTATTCGAAAGCCTTATTGACGAGGAAATGATTTGATTTTTTAACAATTTTAAATTTTTTATTTAAAAAAAAATATCATTTATCAACACAAATTATATTTTATTACATCTTGTAATTAATTAACTTTCTTTTTCCCCATACATATATTTTATTGTAACTATATTTTAATTGCGCCGAAAAATTAAATAGATATTTAGGATAAGAAAGAATAAAAAGAAAAATTGAAAGGTAATAAAAAAATATATACAGTGTGCTGCATTTTGGATGTCCGAATAGGGATTCTTCGAAACTAAGAGGTTGGCCAAAAACGAGTGATACATTGTTGGGCTCATTTTTTGAGAAAATAATGTTGGTTATAACTGGCATCTTGTTATCGTTTTTGGTTTTCGACTTATTCATATACAAAAGTTGACATTTTAGCAAAATCTAAAAAAATTCGTATCTTTGTTATTATAGAAGATACGGTTTAGACATAAAAACATTATATGGGCATTTTTTACGTAGAATCTAATAATGTAGTTAACATTTTATTTGTTTAGCCTTAATAAGATAAACTTTTACTTTATTAAATGGGAATCATTGGTGACTGTGACATTTTTGGCCATGAGAAAATGTTACATCTTCCACTAAAAAAATTTTAAATTATATTATTTCACTAATGAAAGAGTTTTCTAAGCACTAATAAGTAATGAAAAAAATACAAAATAATTCGTAAATCAACTTATTGTCGATTAATAACATTTCCTTGTTTTTAAACAAGCTAATATTAACGTTATAACTTCTAGTGACACAAATTGTGGTAAAAAAAGCTGTTTTAATTCTTTAGTAATAGTTATTTATTGTAAGAGTGTGTTAGGTAGCGTTTTATCCACGCAAGAATGTTTAACCGCGAGAACGTCAATTCGAGCGGTTAATTTTCTTAAGTGGATAAGACGCCACTAACACACGACTGCAATATAACGTTTTACGCACAATCACAGGCCCAAATTATTCCAAACTTAATTAAAAATTAAACTGACATTTAAACGTCACGCCAAATGTGCTTTCGGTTAAACGAAGTAAGCTGTTACGCGGTGCGCTGGTTACTAAGAATGGAATAAAGTGGTACTTTATACGCATCTAAAGTGTGGAATAAAGTCTTTTTATAGAGTGATTTTGGATAAAATATATTTTATTGACACAAAAATGACGATGTGGCTATTCAAATCTTAACCAATATTATTTTCTCAAAAAATGAGCCCCAAAATGTATCACTCGTTTTTCTCTAACCTCTTAGTTTCAAAGATTCCTTAGTCCAATATCCAAAATACGGCACTCTCTACATGTAAAAATAAAAACATCTACATCCATTAAAGTTAATGGTAAAAAACGATATTAAAAAAAATTAAAGTGGCAACGCTTTCTAGTGGCATTGCAAATTATCAACAGTAAACAGTAACAGTTTCCTAGGAAATAAACATTGTCACTATGACGACAGCTAAAATTAATACACAGTGTTGTGACATCTGCAAATTGTAATTTTTTATTAAATAAATAATTTTTTGAAAATCCAAACACTGCGAGACACTGAAAATAGATGCAAATATAATAATTGTCCATTTAAATTTTGTAAAATAAGATCTTTTTCAACATTTTTTTTTATTTGCATATACGTTTCAACAACGTACCTACTATTGAATTGATGCGTCACTTTTTGAACATTCTTTATATTTTATTTCATAATCAATACCTAATAATTATCATTATTCTATTATTTTAGTGGATTCTATTTATGGATGACTAAACAATTTACAATTGTAATAATTCAATCAATTAAACAAAATAAAATAACAAAAGTGAATAACAGTGATTTAAAATACGTGTTTTATTCGTGTCGTTAAAAATTTAAGGATTGCTAACCTTTGCTCAGGGTCACAGAGATATTAATAATATATTGTACCGTTTTGATTGATGTTATTTAAAAAAAATGTTGGTGTTTTTAGGAAATGATACCTTGGCCATACATATTTTACAATAAAGATTCTTTTTGTAATTCACATTGGTTGTGTGGTGTTACAAATAAACATTATTATTTTAATTTATTTGTTTTTTTTTTAAATACCACGTCTGACTAATACACACGTTTATAATCTACAAATTAATAATACATTATTAATAATATTAATTAATAAATAAATTTTCTTTTATATAAAAATTTTTGATGAAACATTAAAAACATTTTTGATTTTTTCTAATTATTCGAGCACAATAATGCAATAAAATAAAAAATAATAAGCCTGCTACTAACCTGGCAATTTTTTTGGTGATGATGCACGTTCTGTCGTCAAACCTAAACTGACCATGAAACCAACGAACATTAAGATTGTTATTGCAACAAATAAAACAACATTTACAATGATACATGTCATATAATTATCTACTTCCACAACACACATTAATCTAATTCTAGCTTTTTAAAAGTACCCTCGACTCCGAAATAATCACCGACATTTTTCGGTTTTCCGGGTCTCAAACTTTCATCAACTTTTTGCTTATCCTCCCAATCAAAAAACGCCGAGTTTTCGCAAAGCTTTCCTTTCATTTTTTCTGAAACATGAATTGCAGAAACTGAAAAATAAATCGCAGCTTTACCGTGCAAAATGGCCGTTGTTTCAGCCGCCCCTCCATATTCTTGCGGCAAACAATCGCGCGGGATTTGTTTGACTAGATCGTCAACAGTGTTGTGCAAATACAGCTGAAACGATATTTCAGTACTGAAAAAATGTGTTTTGGGGTCGCATACCATATCTAGTAACTCTTTCTTCATGAAGGGTTTCATCAAGGCGAGAATTTTATCCATGAAAGGGACAATATTGAAAAAATGCAAACCTTTGAGTTTCACAGGCATTGCTTCTTGCAAATAGTATAGAAATTTTTTCATGGTTAAAGGACCCAATTTTGTTACATGCCCAAACACGACCCCTTTCATGTCAAAGAGGATCAAATGGCCGTTTGAAGTGCCTTTTTGGTGCAGGTGTTGCATAATTATCATATCGAAACAGCGCAGTTGGTCGACAAAAACGTATTTATCTGGGTTGGTGTCCACCAATTTCACTAAAAAAATGCAATAGCCTTCGGGGGTTTCCCTGGGAAGGGGTGTCATAAGTCTGAAAAATTTGGCCAATTTTGGAAAAACAAGTCGAGTGCGGCTTACGAGACATTAATTGTGTCCTTATTTGGGGATGCAAGGGGGTTTCTCCCCCCGAATAAATCAGAACAGAGAGTTTTAACCGTAAAGAAGGTGTCAATTGCTGTTTTTGCAGCCTCATTTCTGTTATTGCAACTTTGGAGAAATAAAATCGCTTGCAACTCTACGATTTTAAACTTAAGGGGTGGTTTTTTAAAATTTGACTTACCGTTGATTTGTGGAAGGTGGGGTTGCTTGTTTACCCACTCCATAAGTGATTTGACGTCTTCTTGTTTCAAATTCGGGTTTTTGGAATATTCACGATTGACGTCGGCTAAATTATGCGCCATTTTGTGTGATAAAACACAAAAAATGTGCTTAATCTACAAGTTGTTGAAATAAAACTGACAAGGATTTTTAACTGCGGATTATAAAAACAGTGAAATACAATGGAAAATAGAAAAACAAACATTAATTACTGTCTTAATAGTAAAGTACCACCTATTAAAAAAATGATCGGTTATTTATTTAGCTGTATAGCCAACTACACGTTCAGCTAAAAGTATATAAAGAGTGTATCAGAAATAGGTGACCCTTGTGTAGTAACTCTTCAAGTTGAATATTTAAATTGTTTCAATAGTTTTTTTTTTAATTTAAAATGATTTATTTTAACGCTGCAACTTTAATTGTCGATTTTTATTAAATTATGGCTTGAAATTCAGTCATTTACTTAATTATGATACATCCTGTATAGTGTGTATACTAAATTGGTTCCATTAAAAACTTTTATAAACCGTTTTTATTACTTTGAATTAAATTAATTAATCAATACATTAATTATTAAAATTATAAGGAGAGTTACATCTGCTTTATAATTATTATTAGAGCAAACAGAGAACTGAACAGTTGAATAGCAAAATAATAAAGTCGAATTTTGCAATTTTTACAAATAATAATAAATAAATTTGACAAAATCTTTAAAACATAATTAAAATTTAGGTTAAAAAACAACATACTTTACATTGTAGTTAGTTTTTGTTTTATTCTCTAGTGGAAAAAACTAGTAAATTGTAATTTTGTGCAAATATCATTTTATTTAACATATTTTTTATTTTTATTCATATTTATAATATTATTCTGTTGTTGCTTCAGTTATTTCTTCTGTGGCCCCCTCTACTGTCGTTTCCTCAGCCACGGGTGGAGTCCCCGTGTTTCTTTCATCAATACCGGAATCAGTAGTAACAACAGGTGGTTGCACTGGCATCACTTATTTATTTTTATCAAAATAAAAAAATTAAATTACTTGATTTCAATATTTAATTAGTTAATACCTGGTGGTGGAGCTGGTGTAACACGACGTGTTGGGGCTCTTCTGTAGATAACAATCCAAAAACATGAAGGAATTTTTTGTTGTTGACTTAAATTTTTCGTTTCATTATTTTGTATATGCATAGATACTGTAAATGTAGCTAAAATCACTAATAAACCAACAGATGAATGTTTCATGTTGCAATTTTATTCGGTATTGAGATTGAATATTATGATTTCGTGTTTGCTATTGTGACGATACAAATGGTTTTTTTTTGGTTTATCGGGAGGACAATTGTTGCAGATAATTGAGGAAGACGTAAAACGCATGATAATGACATATTATGTAATGAGGCGATGAATTTTTGCTAGAATTAAGAAGAAAAATTAATACAAAACAAATAAAGTTTAATAAAATAACGCAACTTTTGTGCAATAAATGAGTTACAAATATTGAGAAAATCAAATAAATAGATTATTAAGTTAAAAAAATACATTTTAAATTTAAACTGAATCGGTGTTGCCTCGGCCAGCAAATCGTCCGAAATATTTCGTTTTTCGTCCTTGTAACATAAAATAAGAGTTTTGCGTTAAAAATTTGGTGAAATTAAACAAAACAAATCGATACAACAAATTTATAACCTTATTTTGCAATGTGCTTCGTGTTAAAAAAATATTGTATTGATATAATAAAATAATTACAAAAACAATTCTACAAAATCTATAACTACATATACATTATATATAAAGAAGCTTTAATCTATAAGTAGGTAAGTACAGATAAACATTTACAGTTACAAGAAAAATCGTTCATTAGATTGTGCAAACGATAGGTATTGTAGTTTAATTAACTTTTAAATTAACAAAAATTAGAAAAAATAGAATAAGTAAAAAAAGTAGTGATAGCGGTTTTTGAAGCTTTAGAATGATCTAACTTAGTATTCTCTCTAAAGATATTTATGTCATATATTTTCATTTAATTTAATATAGATATTAATCAAACAGGTAAACATAGACTACAATAATTTCTTACATAAATACCAAAAATAACATTAATAATAATAACATTTATTTTTAAATTTAGTTTAATCCAATTCCAATTTTTTAAAAGTGCCTTCAACTCCAAAAATATCACTAACACGTTTTGGCTTTCCAGGTCTTTTACTCTCATCCACTGTTTGTTTATCTTCCCAGTCAAAAAATGCACAATTTTCACGTAATTTGTTTTTTATTTTTTCTAAAAATTAAAGTAGAAAAAGCTCAAAAAACTTAACAAAAAAATGTACCGTGAATGACATGCGTTGGTTCAACTGAACCACCATATTCCTGAGGTAGACATTCTTTGGGTACAAATTTGGCTAAATCGTCCACAGTATTGTGTAAATATAACTATAATCAAATTAAACAACAATGAAACACCATTGTGTATAATTCGTACCATATTTAAAAGCTCTTTCTTCATGAATGGCTTCATCAAAGCCAAAATTTTATCCATAAATGGCACAGTATTAAAATAATGTAACCCTTTGAGCCTCAAAGGCATTGCTTCCTGCAAATAATACAGAAATTTCTTTATTTCAAGAGGCCCAAGTTTGGTTATATGCCCAAAAACCAATTCTTTCATATCTATGACAATTATATGACCATTAGAAGTCCCCTCCTGGTGCAAACTTAACATACACACCATATCGAAATATTTCACTTGAACCGAAAAATTGTAATTTTCCGGATTCAGGTCCATTAATTTCATAAAAATAATAGTGTTTCCTTCTGGAGTTTTTTTAGGGAGAAAAGCAAAAAGTCTGAAGTTTAATTTTGTGGAAAAATTAGTCATTTTTTTTGCACTTACGCAACATTTAGACTTTCTTTAAGTGGCGATTGTAGCGGATATCTGCCTCCAAATAAATCAAAACAGAAAGTTTTTACTGTAAAATATGTATCAATGGCAGTTTTGGCGACTTCGTTACGGAAATAGCAACTTTGAAGGAATAAAATTGATTGTATTTCTGTAAAAAAATATTATTTTGGTCAATAATTTGGGGTTTTTACCATTGATTTGGGGTAAATGGGGTTGTTTGTTCACCCATTCCATTAGTGCTTTAACATCTTCCTCTTTTAAATTTTTGTCTTTGGCGAATTCGGTTTTAGGATCGAAAAAATTAAGAGCCATTGTGGGTGTTAGGAGACACACTAAGACACTTTATAAACGTTTATGTTCCACAATAGACTCATATTTAACTATTAGACATAATTAAGTCAAGGATACGTGACATTTTTTGAGAAAGAAGTTGTATCATCTTTTTTTTTTCACATTTTTTTTAAACATATAATTAAAACTAGAATTGAATTAAGAGGAAGTAGTATGCAATTGTGTCATGTTATATAATTTTGCAAGGTTTTAGCTGACGTAATTTTTTAATTTGTAATAAAACTAATCCAATGAGCAATTTAACAAATAATATAAAATTGAGCTTACATTTTTTTTTTGCCAGAGTACGAGAAAATGAGGACTGTAATCATACTTGGTGTTTTGATGTGTTTAGTTCTTGTAAAATAATTTTTACTAAAGAATTTTTCTAATTAAAGTTTTTAGATTCAAGCCAAGCCTCATCATCATGGATCAACAGATCCCAGTGGTGGATTTGGGGGTGGTTTTGGGGCCGGTTTTGGTTTTGGTGGTATCGTAGCTGGTGGATTTGGAACTTCGAGTGATAAAGTTGGTACTGCAACTGCTGCTACAGCTTCAGCAGGATTGATGAAAAGTGCAAATTTTGTTAAAAAAGGGGCTGATTGCAATTGGAGAAACAGACAAAGTAAATATATTTTTTTAAATTGACAAATCATTTTTTTTATTTTGTTAGCTACTACGACCACAACGACGACTACTACAGAAGCTTCAGCTTAATAATTATTATTGCAACTATAGGGTGTAAAAAACAATTCGATAAATATATGTTGTAACACTGTGTATCTGTTTTTTATTTCAAGAAGGAACAAGTTACATTTCCTGTTACTTATATTAGAATATAAAACAAAGTTTTGGTTCAATTCACAAAGCAACAAAAATGTTTTTAGTGATTGTTTTATTGATTCTTTTCTCGGCAGTAAGTTGGTAATTTGCTTAAATAAATAAAAAATAATAATTTAGGTACTTGGAAATGCAGATACTAAACCATTTTCCCTATCTGAAAAAATAACTGGTTTCATGGGTAATAATGAAATAGTGAAAACAGTTCGTGATGGTGCAAATTGTTACGGAATGTATCGTAGGGCAACTACTAGTAAATACTAAATTGTTTTTTTTATTTTAAATTTATTTATTGGGTTTTTAGCAACAACTACAGCTTCCCCGGAAACGTAATTTTTAAGTGTAATAAAAATTTTCAATAAATAAATTGTTTCTGATGTACATACATATTACATATATGTATAATTAAAATTTGTTTTAATAGTTATTTATTAAACAAGACAATAAAGAAATTGTTTATCTACTGCAAAGGAAGAACATTTTTTGCTTCCTCTGAAACGAGCAAATCTGTAATTAAAACGTCATTATTCTGATTCAGTAAAAAGAAAAGTTAATTTTTTTCTTGATTTTGGACTTGGAATAATTTTTCTCTGCTTTTTAAGTCTCATCACATTGGCGGTTTTACTTTTTTGACAACGATGTCACTTTGACATATGAGTTTATGAAAGTTAAATAACAAAAATGTTTGTGAAAAACATAATTTTAATAAGCGGCAACTCAAAAAAACAACTTTTAGATAAAAAATACAACGGCATTTTTAACAACAACCATCATAATTCAATTAACTAATTAATTGTCAAAGTGACATCGTTGTCAAAAAAATAAAATCACCAATGTGATGAGATTTAAACAGCAGAGAAAAATTATTTTAAGTAGAAAATCAAGAGAAAAAACAACTTTTCTTTCTACTGAAACAGAATAATGAAGTTTTAATTATTATATTTCCTCGTTTCAGATAAAGCAAAAAATGTATTTCCTTTGCAGTTTTGGCGTAAAATCAAAGATCTTTTTTTCCTTTTGTAAACCCAATCCGGGGACATACTATAAGATTTGCTCGTTTCAAGAAACAAACAACATTATTTGAATTTTTCGTCAAAAACTAGTTGAGAAGTCCCATTATGGTAACTGGGGTGAAAACCGTCCACGGGGTAATTCCGGCCGCTGATTAATTCCCATATTTGCAACTTTACAAGCTTATCCCTTCCGACGGCAGATGTTGCACAGAATCTGACCATAATATTCCAGTCAGAAAAGTGATTCAACAAATGGATGCATAAGTATGTGGAAAATTCAAAAAACATACATGCTGTTATATAGAAATAATAATTGTGGAGGTGTGTAAAACGTTCTTTTTAAGATCCTAGATTATTTTGTTTTAACATGAGGTAGTTTAAAAGTGTGTTTATTAGATATATTAGTTAAAACTTAAACTAACCTTTATAGGTTTTTCGCTAAGGATGATTTTTTTTGAATGATGTAAATTGGGGTAATACCAGCCACACATTTGGGCGCATGGCCACCATGAACGGCATT